CCCCTCCCCCCTTCCCGAGCTGCCTGGCAGGGAATGTTTATCACCCTTAACTCAGTGTTTATTAACTCATTAAGAAAACAAAGCCTCTCTCTATTAACTAATGGAGGTCTTCTTAAACAGTTCTTCCAAGGAAGGATATTAAGCTGCCTGTTGATTAGCTCCAAAAAGGCTATCTGCCACTGTCCTCTCCCACAGCAAGGACTATAGCCAGCATGTGGTCTGTTAGCTAATGCTGGAGGTGACTGTGTAAGGCACAGGGGAGCGGAGAATAATTCCTGCTTAGCAGGGAAAAGCCAGGCAGATGCTATGTGCCTGCAAATCTGTGCTAAGCTCCAAACAGGGAACAGAGAGGAGGGACCAGCCCTGCTGTGAAGCAGAGAGCCCCACACAGTCCAGAGAGTATGCCAGGATGCTGGGGGTGTATGGCTTATCTTAAACCAGCAAGGGGTCTGGGACAGACATTGCATAAACTGGTTTGTCCCAAATAAGTTAAATCTGATACTACATTCAACCAGGTTTATCTCAAACCAGTTTCAGCCATTTTCAAACTGGTTTATGTGCAGTGAACATCTGTTCTGTTACAGGTGTAAACCAGTTTTTGATCACTTAAACCAGTTTATGTGTAATGTCTGTTCTTAACCTAGATGCTCAAAAGATCCCAAGTAGAGGCCTACAGCCCCCACCATAAAGGCAGGCAAAACCCCCAACAGTCGATGCCAATCTGACCCTGGGGTAAAATTCCTTTCTGACCCCCAAATATGATAATCGATCTGACCCTGAGCAGAGGGCAAGACCTCCTAACCAGGAATCTCCAGCTTTGGTCCCAGCAGAAGTACTAGCACACCTGTCAAAGTCCCCCACATGGACTTTTTTCATGGGCGGGGGTGGGGGTATTCAGGGAGGGAAACACTCTGAAAAGAGTCTCTAGCAGGAGGGTGTGTGATAGTGTGGCCTGGCTAGCCCCTGGCAAGGAAGGGGTTAGAGAGCTGTTGGCCCTGCTCTGGTATGCATGCAGCCAATGCCAGGCCTGCAGGAGTGGTATAAAAGAGGGAGTCTGACTCAGAAAGGGGAGGAGTTCAGTGCTAACTGAACCTGGCTCTTGGTCAGACATCCTCTGGGGAGTAAGCCATTTGGATTCCCTGCTCAGTGGGGTGCCCTATCACAGGCTTTTTCAGAAGGAAGGAAAAGATGGATGTAGCACTTTCAGAAGCCTATTAACTCTGCTGGATTAGGTGAATAGATTGCTGCATAGTGGTAAAAAGATGTCTTCTTTGAGCTCTGAGTACCTTTTTCTGCCAAAACTCAGTGAAGAAATTTTGTTATAACATTATTTTAGATGTTATTTTTAAGTGTCTCAACATTATTTTTAATTTAGAAAAGCACTTTTGTTGGGAGGGTGTTAAGCTCCACTACAGAACCTACCAAAAAGGATGGAAAGAAGTAGAAATTAGGAGTTGGGTGTCCATCCAAGAATCATTCTTCAAATAAATATGCAGTCTGAATTTAGTTTTCTGGTTAGAAACTGACCCCTCTAGAATACCATTTGCTACCCAGAGGTTGCTTATCATGATGTGATCTGAAACTTTCCATCCTTCAGACAAACTTTAATTCTCAAGGGTACTTATAAAGAACAGCACAACTTTTATCTCTTTAGCACATTGTAGTTAGCATTTCACTGACTGCTTGGGGGGGTGGGGGGGAGGTTGCATGTTTTCAATGCAAACAGAACCACATTTCATTGTGGTTAAATTTTAGTACCTTGGAATAGATATGATCAAGAAGCAAGGGTTAAAAATGGACAGCAATGGACCACCTGTCTGCTGTAATAATGGTATGTGTTAAAGTGCATTTTGTTAACATTTTGAAAGCATGTGTAAAGCAAGAAATAGTGAAAAATCGCATATACTGTATGTTAAACAGCATGGTGTGAAGGGAAACATCTGTTCCTGGTTAAACTTCTTTCAACTTGCATTCATTTGACTCAGCCATATCACAGTAGTGTTGAGATATACCCTCCATGAATGCTGCAAAGCTATTTTCAGGACATGTCCAGTAGTCTTGCTGTGCACTCATAGACTTTTGGCCTAACAGCTTTAGTTCTGTGGTTAAAAGGACAGGTTTTAGGGCTCATCCTTTTAATAGAATAGCAATAGAAGCATTAGAAGCATTAGATGCAAGACACGGGAGGTGATAGTGCCTCTCTACTCAGCACTGGTTAGGCCTGATATGGAGCACTGTGCACCGTGCATAGTTCTGGCCTTCACATTTTAAAAAAGCTGTGGGAACAGTGCCGTGGCAAGGAAGATTGGTGCCTGGGGCAAAACCCACAGTGGCAGCTTGGCCTTGCCCCCACACAGATCCAGCACAAGTCCTCCTCCCCTGCCCCCACCCCCATGCTTGCCTGGGAGTGCACACAGTGGTGGGAGCTGCCCTCCCTTCATCCCCACACCCCCCAAAAGAGCCGCTCACAGCTCCATCCTGTGCCTTGCCTTAGCTAGGTAGTGCCTGTTGGCATCCCTTTGTTTCGGCACCTAGAGTGGTTGCCCCCGCTTGCCTCCTGCCCTTGCTACGGCACTGCATGGGTAATAAAGATGATAAAGGGCTTGGAAAGCAAGTCATATGAGGAGAGGTTGAAGGAATAGGTATGTTTAGCTTGAGGAAAAGGTGTTTAAGAGGAGACATGATAGCAGTCTTCAAATATTTTTAGAGCTGCCATAAAAAAAGAGGGAAAGCACCTTTTTTGCTCTTGCTGCAGAGAGCAGGACATGGAAGAATGGCTTGAAGTTACAACGATGTAGGTTTAGATATCAGGAAAAACTTCTTAACTATTAGAATAATGTGGCAATTCCAGCCCTCTGACAGATTCAGAAGGAGAAGGGTTGCAGGGCCAGGTATCACTGCATAATTCAGGGATTCATTTCCTTCATAGTGTGCAACCAGCAGAGGGATACATGGTTTGTGATCAAGGCGATCCCACCCAGCAGGTAATATTTGAGGGCCTCCACTACCCATTTTACTGCCAGTGCTTCTCTCTCAATGACAGAGTAATTCTTTTCCCTTAGGAACAGCTTCTGGCTCAAACAGAGGATGGGGTGTTCCTCCCTATTCACCATTTGGGACAACACTGTCCCCAACCCTACACCAGAAGCATCAGCCTGGACTATAAACTCCTCTGAAAATTGTGGATTATAGATAACTGGTTTCTGGCATAGGCAAGCCTCTAACATCCAGAACACCTGGGTACATTCTCTGGTCCGCTGTACCTTCTACAGATGGTCGCCCTTCAGAAGGTCTCCAAAGGGGCCTGCAATTGATGAGAGTGCCAGTATGAACTGTCAGTAGTACCCAACAAATCTTAGAAATCAGCATACCTGGGTTTTGGTGTTCAGTATTGAGAGCCTCTACAGGCCCTGGACCTTGGACTAGTGGCTGTTTTTGGCCATTTTCCAAGTTGTACCCCAGGTATGGGTATATGGTTTCAGTCTTATACATGTGGCACTTAACCTGATTTGTTGTCAGACCTGCTTCCTGAAGTGACAGCAAAACCATGGCCACATTGTCTAGGTGTTCTATCCATGTCTGGCTGTAGGCTGCTACGTCACCCAGATATACTACCACATGCCCCTGATGGGTCTGTAGGAACTGGTTCATCAACATCTGGATTGTGGCCGAGGCTCCATGCAACCCAACAGGTATTGTCCAGAATTTGTATAGGCCAAAGGGGTAGCAAAGGCTGTCTTTTCCCTAGATTCCAGTGTTAGCAGGATTTGCCAATACCCTTTCATAAGATCAAGGGTCGTAATGTACTGGGCATCTTCTAGCTGGTCCAGTAACTCGTCAACCCATGGCAAACGGTGTGTGTCAAATTTCAAAATTGCACAACCTTTCAAAATTCTATGCAGAATGATACAGTGCCATCCCATTCTGGGACCACAACAATCAGACTTCTCCAGTCACTGCAATTCCTCAATAACCTCAAGGTCCAGCATGGCCTGTAGCTCCTGCTTCACCATCTACCTCAATCAGTGTGGCAAGCATTTTCCCTAACTCTACTTCCTGGTTTCATTTGGTTCCAGTAAGTCACTCAGCTGGTTTGTCCTGAATGTGATAAAAACACCCCATAGAACAAATAGACCAGCCTTCAGGCTTGCTTCAGTTGCTTTGGAGTGAGGTCAATCCCAAACTGCAACATTCCCACCTGGGGTGTCAGGCCCTAACTCTAGCTCAGGAGTATAGCAGACTATAAAAAGGCACTCCTGAACCTTCTGTGGTTTCAAAAGGTTGACATGATAGATTTGCTGGTGCCTCCATCAATCCAGTTGCCTGACTTCACAATCAACCAGCTCAACCTACTGGATTACCTCATATAGTCCCTGCCAGTGAGCCATCAGTTTTGACATAGATAACGGCAACAGTAGGAGCACCCAATCACTTGGGTTGATTTCAGAGATGCACATTTGTATTGTAGTGCACTGCCTGGGAGGTTTGGGCTCATTGTAGATTTTTTTGAGCAAATTCGCCCAGCAATTTAAGTTTCTCCTGCAGGTTCAATACATATGAGACCACATTATTGGCTCAATGGGGTTGCTCTTCCCACATACCCCATACAAAACCCAGGATTCCCTGGGGTTGTTGACTGTAGATCAGCTTAAAGGGAGAAAACCTTGTTGATGCCTGGGGCACCTCCTGGACTGCAAACAGCAGGGTGGGGAGCAATTGATTGCAATGGCAGGCATCTGTGGCTGTGAATTTCCTTAACATTTCCTGAAGGGTTCTATTGAACCACTCCACCAACCCATCCATTTGAGAGTGGTAAATGGAGGTTCTTACCAATTTAATTTTTAGTAGCTTATAGAAAAGCTTTATGGTCTGGGACACTGTGGCAGGGCACTGTTGGTGCCTGCCACTTTAAGGGCTGTGTCAAGCTGCCAGCAGTGCTTGATTGCGGCAGCCATTTTAAAACCATGGCCACCTATATAAACAGAGCAGTTTGCTGCTGGCAGGCAGGCAGAAACATTGCATGGCTGAACTGCTGAATGAAACATTTGCAGGTAGGAGCAGGAGGCTCTTGGTCCTGGGCATGACCTAAAACTGTACCCTGCTGGGAGTAGATGGTCTAGTGGGGCTCCCAGTGGCGTGGAAGTCCCCAGGAAATATCAGGCCAGTTACCACCCTGGTGGAAAGCGGGTCGGGGTGCCTTAATAACCCCAGCTCCACAGCCCTGGTGGGTTCAACTGGTTCAGGGGAAGCCCAGGTTCATGGGAGTCCTGAGGCAGGGCCCAGGTTGGCAGAGGGACCTGGAGCAGTGTCCAAGCTCTTCGTGAGTCCTGTGGCTACAGGGACCCTGAGAGGGGGCCAGACATGGCTATGGCCTCCTGAGCCTCACAGAGTGCAATACCCCAGGACAGAAGGCAAGGCAGGGCGATAGCCACCTGAGCTGAATGAGGCAGCAGACCCCAGTGAGCCCCAGTGAAGGAGCAGTGTGCGGAGCCCCAGTGAGGGGGCAGTGTGGGAGTGTAAGACCCTAGGGCCAGGCAGGGCTGTGGCCACCTGAGCCCCAAGGGGTGGAAGACCCTAGTGTGAAGCCCCAGTGAGGGGGCTGAGGGCTTGGAGCCCAGTATGTATTTGTATGCATGTTTTATGAAAGTCCCAGCACAAACCACTGGTGGAAGCCATCTGCAAGGCTGGGCTCTGGTGTAGGGTAGGATCAGAGCTGCAGATAGCGCGCTCTGGCATTGGGACAAGAATGAGCAGCCTCCCACCTAATTGGAACCAATTATGAAACAGCAAGTCATGGCAGGAAAGTGAGGCAGGCAGTTAGCACAGGAACAGGTGAGCAAGCCAATGGTGGACTGGCCCCGAGAAGACCCCCTGCTACAGAGATGAACTTGGTTCCTTGGCTGCTACTGATTTCTCAGGGCACTCCCACCTGCAAAAACACTGTCATAAGTTCAGCAGCCATCGCTTTGACTGTCGTCAACCAAAGAGGTATGGGCCTTGGGATAGCACATGGTATAGTAGACTATTACCAATATAGCCAGTTACACTCTATTCCAAGGATCACACCATGTCCATCCCAATCCATTTGAAGGGAATATCCACTAAAAGGTAAAAGGGACCTAAAGGGGTTACTGAGTTCTTCATTTACCACATACAACAATTCCAAAATACTTAAGGATGTCTCTCCAAGAAAAGAAACACACAAAACAACATTCTCATGGATAACTATTGCATGGATTAATTTAAGAAATAAAAAAGGAGGAAGTATCTTGTGAGCTTAACCAAAAGCAGGGATGGAAACAACATTTGGCTACTGAGGGATCGAGAATGGATCCAGCCAGTTACAGCGTGGAGTATCATTGTCTTTGCAGCCATTCTCTTCAACAGAGTGAGGGCAAGTCAAATAGGGAAGAGAGGAATCTCAAACCCAGGTATAATATATATTTTACTTTTAACAAACACAGATGGGAAGGTTCAATCTGTGTGTTAAACTTGCCAACAACAACATGCATTAATTTACAGTGCATAATTAACACCTGAAACATGTTCATTTGCATGAAAAAAACCTTTAAAAAAATTACACTTAGGAAATGCCTTGTAAATATCAGCTGATACTGTACTCCACACAACTGGCAAGGCTGTCTCGAGATGTAGTAGATCATGTGAGATGTGCTTGGTTTTAAGCTCTGGAACTGGGAGAAGGCAAACACTGAATCAGAGAAAAATAGGGTTGGAACGGGCCCCCAGAGGTCATTTAGTTCAACCCCCTGCCTCAGACAAAATCATCTCTATCCAAACCATCCTATATAAACCATAATCCAAACTCTACATAAGACTGCCATCAGCCCTGCCACAACATAGACCTAGTACCCTAACCTGCCACAGGTAAAGCAGGGGGAAAAACAACAGTTCTTCCCTGTTGGTCAGGACAAGATCCAAAATAAATGATCCCTTACTCATATCTTCCACTTTCAGGAAAAAAAAGTCCACCACGCAAGTTAGGAACCAGTGTGACGTTTTCTGTGTGGCTACATGTGTGGTTTTATGTCTGGCTTCTTCTAGCAGATGTCCAGAAAACTGAAGTCTCCCATCAGTACCATCCCATAGCTTTTGGATAGATTTGTCACATGTATGAAGAGTGACTCATCCACCTCCTCATTCTGATTTGGTGGCATAAAATAAATCCCAACCATTTATATCAGTACTGCATCTCTCATCCTTCATTTTCACCCAAATACATTCTGCTTTGCTGTCCTCTTCTTCCTGAAGTGTATGCATTTTTGACATACAAGGCAACACCACCACCTTTTCTCCCAACCCTGTGCTTCCAAAATAGAGTGTTAACCTTGATGTTGTCATAAGAGCTGTCCCACCAGGTTTCTGTGATGCCAATCAGATCACAGCTCTTTTCATGGGCTGCAGCTTCCAGCTCATCTTGTTTATTCTCCATACTTTTCACATTTGTATACATGCATCAAATGTATTGCATTTTGACTTACTCGCTTTCCTTTTGTGCCACGTGTTGCAGTCCTGTAGCTCTCTGACCCTTTCCCAAAGTTAAGTAGCTTCTTTGAGTCCTTTCCCACCTGGACTGTGAGCTCTGTTGCTGGAGGGTTTTGATCACTATCCCCTTTGGAACCTAGTTTAAAGCCCTCCTTACTAGGTTGGTCAGATAATACCAAAAGATGCTATTGCCCATTCTCATTAGATGGATCCCGTCTTTTGGTAGCAGTCCTCCTCCCAAGAGCACCCATCCATTGTCAAAGAAGCCAAAGTCTTCACACTGACACTGTCTCAGCCACATGTTGATTTTCAGGATAACATGGGCTCTGCCTAGACCCCTGCCTTCCATGGAAAGGATCAATGAGAACACCACTTGTGCTCCAAGCTCTTTTAACCCTTCTGCACTATTTTGACTGTTTTGTTATTTTAAAAAAAAAATTCTGCTTTCCTTATCCTGAAAAGCAATAAACATTTTTGTTGTTCAAAACATTTTATTTTTGTTACTCATAAATTAATGTGACAATTAAGCTATACTTGCAAAGAAATATTTCCACACCCCCTCCTGTACTAGTTTTACATGAAAGCATTGAGATATCCACACAGTTCATAAACAAATACAGATGGTGAGACAAAACCATATACTTGACACTAACATCTTCAAAGAAAATCAAATTCCACAACATCAAAAAACCTTCATGAATGAATGACATGCACAATATACAGAGAAATACTAAAACATACATTTTAATATATCAAAATGTAACTAAAAAAGGCATCTTTATAGTCCAATAAAGAAATGCATTCTAGCAACAGAAAAACTCTGTAACTGAAGAGTTAGAAGAACATAGAAGAAAAACAATTCTGAAAGTCTTAAAACTGAATGTTTTACAGAGCCAACAGCTGGAGGTTGGGTTTCTTTTTCTAGAATAATATGAGTTAAGAAATACTAGTATTTGTGGCAGGTATGGCTTCTGTGTACCCCATATCAAAGAACTGACTAAGAAAATTCAACACAGAAAGTGATTTACCTTTTTGTTCTTCTAGTTTTGCACAATTGTGACTAAATTAAAGAAGTTACATTCAGTGACCGCATCCAGATGAGTGCAGCCACGTGGTATGTGGCACCACATACCGCACATTCAGCTGTTTTCTGCATTGCAAGGTAGCAACACCGCTGGGGGTGGGGGAAGGGGGGAGTTATCCCAGGAGATCCCAGGGTCAAAAAAATCTGTGGGCAAAAAAAAAAAAAAAAGGGGGTGGGGTGGGGAGTGGTGCACATAAAAAAAAAAAAAGGGGGGGGGGGGGGGAGTGGTGCACAAGCGGCCAGCATGTGCCATACAAAACCAGAGCCTGACCAGCCAGAGTCACACACAGGCTTCCAGGCAAGCTCTGAACAGCAAAATCACTGCTGCTGCAACCCCAGGAGGCCCCCAGGCTCCCAGGTACGGCTGCTGGGGCCAGCCCAGTGTTGGCCTCAGCCTCCCCTACCCCACCCAGGGTAACCTTCCATGCGCCAGAGAGCATGTGGCACAGGCATTCCCTGGGGGCAAGTATCAGTAACACAAGGTTTGCCGCTGTTTCTTGTCCGCAGGGTAACTAACATCCACACTCATGTGGATTCAGTCAGTAAATCCAATTGACCCAAGTCTAAACTTTCAGATTGGGACCAACTTTTCCAAAGTAAAAAACACCTGAATTTTTCTAAATGCCTACATCCAGAAACAAAAGGTACTGCACGGTACGCAGGCAGCAACTGTTAGACTTACTCTCTCAAAGTACCATTGATACTCCTAGAAAGGACTCCTGTTCAATTTAGACTCCAGACAAATGTGTCGTAAACATTTAGCTTCCTAAACTACCCCCTATGATTAAAATGTAAATACTTCAGCTCTGACTATAGTCAAGTAAAAGGCATGATCATAGCAGGGTAGGGGGGAAAAAAAAAGAGCTAACTTTAACCTGGCTATTGCATGTAAAAACAGGGAGTGAAGACATAGTGGCAAAGACTTCAGCACAAACTAGCACCCTGAGAAAATACTCAGGACCCCTGACAAATTTGTATAATCCATGCTGCCTTATTTTCTCTACCAGTATTACTCATGCTAGCCAAATTAAAACTGGGGCAGGTATACTTTCCCAGACTACAATTTCACCTGTGTAAATATACTCTCAAGTATTTATAATACAGTTATGGGGAGTACTAAACTATATGTTAGCCTCATAAACCTCTGGAGTTCAAAGCTAACAATAGTAGACATTTTTTGTTGTTTATTTTCAGTAGTTGATATGAGGACACAACAACAAATGATGTAAAGCCTGAATCACAAAGGACCTGAATCACCTAGGACACAGTGGCCACATCCAGATGTGCAGAGGCACACACCCGAAGTGGCACAAAGAGCAGTGTCACAAATTTGTGCCACTACTTTGTGCTGCAGCTCACACTCCTGACCACGCACTCTGTTGTGGGACACTGTTCCACTTTAGGCAAACTGCCTTTGCCCACCTCCTCTGAGTATGCTGGATCAACTAGGGGACAAATGGAGGAGTGGAGACACTCTGGCCAGCAGCCAGAGTATCTCCCTGGAGGACCAAGCCACTGTTTGTTCCAGTGAATGCTATTAAAGTGTGCACTACACCGCCTTTTCTTCCCAGGGATTTTTTTTTTTTCTTTTCGCTACCGGGAAATCCTGGTAGCAAATTTTGCCCCCACGCTACAAATTTGCAGCATGGGGTACATTTTAATGTTCCACACATATGGTCTGTGGCACCACAAACTGCACATGACTGAATGTAGAGATGCAGCCAGTGGGTGCATCTATATGTGTGCTTTACTGCAGAGTTGATTAATTAGCATTGATCCTGGTTTTCTCTGTTTAAAAATCACAACCCTGATTAAAAAAAAATAAAAATAATCACAAGTTCTCTGATTAAAACACCCAAAATCTGTGTTTTCCTGCAATTAAAATGCATATATATCTATCTCTATCTATCAGTTGAACACAATGTTTTATTGATATATTTACCATTTCAAAGCAATTTGGAAGCCTACCAGTGCCTCAATTACTATAATAAAATTAATTCTAAATACCAATACATTTTGGCATTTGATTTTGGGTTTTTTATCATGGAAAAATTAGGGTTACCTTCGCTCACCAGGATGTGGGTCCAGCTGCGGCTGTCCCCCCACTGCTTTGTAGCTTAGCAGCCCTGATATGCCAGTTCCTTGCCCATACTAATTGCCGTTCACTCCCAAGCCACAGCCCTCCAGCCCTGCTGGTGTCCCTCACTCCCCACCCACAGACCCTTCAGCCCTGCTGGTACATCTCACTCCCAAGCCATAGCCCCCTGGCCCTGCCAGAGCCCCTCACTCCCAACCCAGAGCCCATCCACCCCTGCTGGTACCCCTCAATCATAATTTATGGCTCCCCCTCAGCCCTGCCGGAGGGGGCCCCCAGCAGCCAGGGCTATGGGACCAAGGAGGCGGCAGCTGCTGTGACCCAAGTGGAGCATAGAGACCAGTTCCCCCTCCCGCACAGGCGGCACAGCTGGAGTGAAGCATGTGGGGGTGGGGCAGATGCAGGCTGCCTGCTGCGAGTTTGGGGCTCCCTCCCTGCTGCCCTTCCTCCAGGGTCTCCACAGCCCAGCGGGCAGGACCCAGCCTAGTAGGGCAGAGCGAGGCAGGGAGGCTTGGTGTCGCCACTGCGAGGCCTGTACCACCATGGTGACATGCTTCCTGCCCACCTGACAGCAATGGGGAGCACAACTCTGAGCCACTATCCCTGCATTTGCCAGGTGGGCAGGGAGTGCCTTTCCCTGGCGATGGGGGGCTTCCAATAGCAGCACTGGGCCTCCCCACCCTGCTCTGCCCTGCTGCACCAAGTCCCACCTTTTGGACTGTGGAGACCCACAGGAAGAGGGCAGCAGGGAGGAAACCCCTGAGCCCACAGTGGGAAACCTGCATCCACCCCAGCACAACTCTGGGGGGGCACGTGCCCTCTATGCCCCCCAAAAGCGTGTGCAGTGACAGGGAGCCAGCCCAACACTGCTCCCCAGATGAGCCGCCCATGGCACAGTTCCACTCCCCACCCCAGGCCCCACACACTGCCCTGGTTGGGCATTGACCCCAGCACCAGCCCTGCCCAACTCCCTTCCTCCCTCATTATGGGGACCTCAATCCCTGGCTCCTTCTCCCTAACTTACCTGTGGAGAGCTTCAGCTGCTCTCATGCTGCTTGGTGCCATGTGCATGTCACATGCCTGCAGCAGCCCATGCCAGAAGCTGGGGGATGCTAAAGCATGTCTCCCTGCTAGGCTGGAGCAGCCAGCTTGGGCCAAGGTTAGCCTACCCACCGTGCGATGTGGGGTTTAGAGGGGAGGTGCAAACCATGCTGGGATGCTGGGAGACTGAATTAACTTGAATCTGGAGGGGATCTGAGACAGAAGTTCAATAAATCAATTTAACTTAAATCAATTAAATCTGATACTACATCCCATCCAAGTTTATCTTAAACCAGTTTCAGCCATTTTCAAAGTGGTTTATGTGCACTGAACTTCTGTTGTGTTACAGATATGAACTGGTTTCCAATCACTTTTACTGGTTTGTGTGTAACTTCTATCCTTAGCCCACACACTAGGGCTGACCCCCGGTGCCCCTTGCCAGCCCAGGGATGCTCTAGCCCGACTAATTGCTGTGGACCCTGGCGCATGTGTAATCACTGAACCTGAGAGCAGTTCACTCTGGTGCAAACTGTTCCAGATTTTATTGTGTAGCTTTAATAGCACATGTAGATGCACCCAGGGTTTACTAAATAGGATTTAGTCTAATAAGCTCCCAATTTGATTAAACAACATGCTATCGTAAATGGCAGGAAAAGGCAACATATCAGAGTTAAAAGAAAAGTCATCTTTAAAGTCCCCCCAGTTTAAGACAAAGTTTCTGGAAGTACAAAGTTTGCATGAAGTTGAAATATAGCTTAAAATAATTTTCTACAAGGACACATCTGGGAAATAATATTGCAGATAATGGGGCTCATTATCTAAGTGTTTTTCCAGTATTACCAAGTGTTAAAGGTCAAATAATTCAGAACATTTGGCACCAACATAGAAACACTGTTGTAGCTGAAATGGTTCACAACTTTATTGGGATATGTTGTGTACAGATAAAAAATGAGATAATGGATATCTGCTTGAGATCACTCACCCTGTAGTACTGCAAGTCACTTTCAAATAGCAGAATGGCCAATGGTTTGTTTCACTAGTCATTGTAATTGACCAAGGGGGTCCTATGCAGACACTGGCATTTGCAAGAGAAGCAATTCTACTGAAGTGTCATTTGTGCATGGAGTAAATGGAATGTGGGAGAAGAAATGAAAAGCTTAACTTGCAGCATCCACTTGCCCTGAAATTCAAGTGCAAATAAAGGCATGCTGTGTTCTAAGCATTTTTTTCTACTTACTTTCTTAATGAAATCTGGTATCTTATTTTTGTCAGAGAGTTGGTCCGAGAAGGAGCAGCACTCTATATCCAACATATATCCTTCACTGCAAACATCATTTTTCAGAGATCTGAAGAAACAAAAAAAAACACACCCACATACAGTTTTGAGTTCTTGAAATCAAATAATAAAAAATCCTTATACACTTGTTCTTTCAATTACTGGTTCCATGAAGAATTAACATTCAGTCAAAACCTGGGTTCTAGCACTTCCATTAGATGGAGTCAACACGGCTCCATAGCTAAAGCAAGCCCACAGCTTCATACCTATGAATTTCAGAAAGCAGCAAGCCAGACCCTGAAATGACTGCTATGGGAACTATAAGTGGCAGCCTCACCCTTTCATCCTCTAAGATATCATGTGCCCAGCCTAAGATTCATGGAATAATGCTGAGGAGCTACAGACATGCATATGCTTCTTGGGCAGGAGTGGGTAATTATTTTGGTTGGAGGGCTACTTAAGAGTTTTGGTGAAGCGTTGAGGGACACAAGGGTAGCCCCACACTTTGACAGGTGCCCACCCCCTGGATGCCAGAGTGTTTGTGGGCCATGATGTATTTGTGAGTTGCAAGTTAAAGGAACCCCTTTCATCTGGCTCTAAGAACCACATTTTTAAAAAGCAGAGTCTGGTCAGAGTATAAAGTACATGCAGTTTATACTTTAGTCTTAAAAAACAAACAAACAATGAAGAAACTTAGTTATGCTGATGAATCAGCCTGATTGAGAAACAATGATCTACAGAAGCTAATTCAGATCAGGTGGCATCAAACATGTATACTACCAAACAGAAATCCAAACTTTAGATTGATGGTGTCTTGGAAGCATGGCATTGGACAAAATGTTTCATGGGAAAATCTGAAGTTTATATCGGAAGATGTTCATAAACCCTCTTTTGATTTCAGCAGAAATGCTGTGCAGTTAGTCATTCTGCACAGGGAATGTGCAGAACTTCATCCAGATCCAAGAAAGTGAAACCGATATCCTCTGATCTACACTGGAAATCCAGGTTAAAAAGAAGTAATTTTGTGAATATATTCTGGGAATTCTTTAAGGAAAGCACACAGATGAGGTAAGTTCTCTTAAATGCTAAACTACACAACTGAACACTGGTAATATTTTTCTTGGGCATGCCATAGAGGTGGCTACTCTGACATCTCATGAGAAGCTTCAAAACCTATAAAACATAACCACAACTACCCAATTTATGCCTGCCAGCAGTAACTTTAAGTGGGTGAGGGCTAGAGAAGCACAAGACTCCTGGTACAGAACCAACATTCTGCAGCATGCTTCATCACACGCTTACCAGAGTATACACGAGAACACCACCAACTTCTCTGCACTCTAGAAATACATGCTAATCAAAACACACACACAAATTGAATGTGGGTCCTAGAGGATTTCTCAGAATGCTAACAAGTTATTCATAACCATGAGATGCAAAATTATTGCCATGTGAGACAGCTTCAACTAGCAGTGAGTTTCCTGTGGGAAGTTAGAAAAATTTTCTAATGATATCATGTGACACTGTTTGTCTCCATTCCTCCCCCTCCCCCCAAAGGCTATACCTACATCCACCTTCCTTCTAATGGCTTGTTTGTGTACAGTGGTAATTTTCAGCCAGGGTGCCAGAGCACCCTGGGATGCTGTGAGATCATTTTAAGGGTGCCATGGGGTGCCACAAGGTTAGCATTGATTCACAAGATAAAGAGATTTCAAATAGGAATCCATAGTATCAAAACATTCTCGCCTGTTCTGGTCTTTCGGAGTTCTTTGCAACAGAAGAATTGATCTATTATTTTTCCACTTCAAAAAAAGTGGAAAAGTTAAGAGCTAGCACTTTCCGACAGGTGCTTTGAGTCGTACAAGGGGTGATTTAAGTCTAAAAAGGTTGAGAATCACTGCGGTATAGCATGGTTGTATCATCTGGGGGATTATGCTGTTGCACAGTAACATGCAACATTTCTTCTATCACTTAGACCTTTTAGTCATCTTCTATAACTGTGCTACTATTCTTCTCTTGGCGGTGTTCAACCCCAACACTATGTATTTTACTGTATTCAAAGCCAAAAACCTTTACATTTGCTTTTTTTTTTTTATTAACGGAAGCTGTTTACATACTGCTCTAGGAAAGGGATCTATAAGAACCATTCTCCAGGTCACTGGATTTATGTATTAGGGATTAAAAAATAAACAGCTTAATTTAAGCTGTGAAAAGCAAATTACTGAAAATCAAAATTCTGTTTTTGAAAATTAGGGAATAACAACATACGAAACAGCAGGTAATCATGAGAACCTTCCAGTTGATGCAACGAGAAAGTGGCAGGTACGGTAACTTTTCCTCTACTGACAGTTCATCATAGCTTAATTATTTTGAAATAAAAGTGGATACGTTAAAAAAATGTAAAGGTTTTCCCATGCTTCTCCATTAGGTCCTACTATAGCTGCAGTCTTTTTTGAAACCTGAATGTGACTGAGTAGGTGAGTCTTAATTCTTTTAAATCATATTCAATATGCAGAAACAAATGTTCAGGCTCAGGTATCTTCAGACATTCTGAGAGTTAGTAAAAAATTTTAAAAAGGATGCTAGATTCTGCAATGTAAAACTGTTACCAAATCATACAAAATAAGCAAGTTTTGAATACTACTTCAATTGTTATTAATATTGTAAGCCAACTTTCCTTTTCAGTTGGAGACTGGAGTAATACAGGACCCCAGCACTTTTTCAATACTGAGGCATAATATTTCAGATGTAGTAGACAAGGAGGACATTTGCAGAACCAAGCCTCTGACACATATGTAGGCCCAACCTTTTGTTCAGGTCTTCTACTAACTGGCCAGTCAGGTCCCTTTCCCTTGTGGGGATTCTAATGTGGGAGGAAAAAGTGATTCGGAACAACTACATTTTGGCTATAAAATCCACTTTAGGTATCAGAAAAAAAAACACTTTCAAGTCCATGTCTTATTGTAATCATATTTTTAAGACTTTTGAAGGATGACAAAAAATAAGGACATACTGCCTATGCCCATTTAATATGAAGTCTGTTAACGGGGGTGGGGAGGGGAGAGGTGGGGGAGGCATGTTTCCAAACTCCCAGTCCTACTATGTCCATTATTTTGTCAAAGCGCTATATCTGTTCTATTTGCTCTGAATCAGATATACTCCAGGCACAAGAACCTGTGCTATTGTTATAGAAACAAAGGATTACAAGAGATCTTAAGGGTCACCTAATCCAAAACTCTGCAGAGATACATGATTTGTTGTTCTTAAACCATCTCAGATAGATGCCTATACAGACTTTTCTTGCAAACCTCTAAATGAAAGAGATTCCATGACTTCCTTAAGGCAACCTGTTCCACACTCCTAAGTTTCTTACAGTTTGGATATTTTCTTTGAGGTTTATAGTTGTGCCCATTGCATTAAAATTACAATATTAATCTCGTTTCATTAACTAGAGAACTACTCTGAAAAGTCAAAGGTTATTTCCTACTGGAAATGGTTAAACTAATCAGAAAGCTTAATTTTTCTACAAGCACAAAAATCTGGAGGGAAAAAAGGGGGATGGTGCTTGTAAAATATTTAAGAGAACAGGAGATAGTGAGCTATTCTTTTAAGTCTCTTAAACTACTCCTGCTCTTGGACTAATAAAAGTAATGGTTCCAAATCCCAATGAAGCCTGTTATAGATTTTCTTGTATAGCACACATATAACAGAGATCTTGCTAAAGCTCATAAAATCTTTAGTCAGTGTCAAACAGAAGCACGACATATAAGCAAAATCCAGTTTCCCATGGTTCCAAAGAGACTGCATATTAGAGAATACATTCGAAGGACATTTGTCTGTAAAGCTTATTTTACTGCTTCTTAGGAAGAGTCAAAGGAAGAGTACTATTGCATCAAACACAAAATGGAGTAATGTACAGGTTTCTGTATTTGAAACACAAAAATGATAAATAGAAACATAAGGCTGGAGCGAGCCTCCTGAACCATCAAGTCCAGTCCCCTTTGCAAGCAATCAGTAACCCAAAGAATCGTCACTGCAGAACCCAGAACACTAAGAATACTCTATAAAATTGATTTTACAAGAGACTGCAAGAGTTACTATATTCTTAACAAATTGGAGCAAATCCAGGTAGGCAAGCAAAATGTTCTGACCCATGTAACTGAGTAAATAAAAAGTACATACCACTTTTCATCCAAGGATCTCAAAGCATTTTACAAGCATCCAAAACGCCTCCCAGTACAACGGTGAAAGTAGTTACTAAAGTCTCCATTTTATGGATGGTTAAAAAAACAGGCTCAGAGCACCCAGTTTTGCAGATCTTGCATTGAGTTAACTCCTTATATGAGTAATCTCAGCAATTTCCAGGCAACTCTGCCAATTAGTAAGGGTTACAGAACAAAATCCAGAAAGATTAAGTGAACAGCCCAAGACCACACAAGTCAGTTGCAGTCAGAAAGAGAATTAAGCCTTTAACAGTAATCTTCTGTTCTAGTCACTAGACTGACTGCATTCCCTGCTTTTGTGCTGAGGAAGGAACTGAATTTAATCATATCAAAAATAATCCAGTGATCCATACCCTGGAGTTTCTTCATGATTTTATAATATGGAAATGCAGTGCACAAACTATTTTCAATTAAAGTTTTAAAGTAATGGCTTTATTTAATTAATGTTCACCTCTGTACTACAAAAATATTTCTCAGTTGAAAAATTAAAAAATGTGATAAACTCAGGACAAATTTAGAAAATGTTTTTTTTTATTTTTATTTATTTATACTTTTTCCTATACACCTGTAATTTCAAAATATTTCATGATTTTTTTGTTGTTGATTCTTCCTTGACCTCTCCTCTTAGCCTGGAAAATTAGATCCTTACCTTTCCTTCGAACATTTACAGAAAATGGAAAAGGCAGTATATTAAAAAAAATAAATTAAACTAAGATAAAATGGCACTATAGCCCTGAAAGCAGCACACCTGAATGAAGTTTATCACAGAAAGTTAGGGTTGGAAGGGACCTCAGGAGGTCATCTAGTCCAACTCCCTGCTCAGCCCCAATTAGATCATCCCAGCCAAAGATTTGTCTAGCCTGGTTTTGAAAACATCCAACGATGGAGCTTCTACCACTTTCCTGGGTAACCTGTTCCAGTGTTTTAGTACCCTTTTAGTGAGAACATTCTTTCAAATATCTAAACTTCCCTTGTTGCAACTTGAGACCATTGCTCCTTGTTCTGTCATCTGCCACCACTGAGAACAGTCCTCTTTTGAACTTCAGGAAGTTTGTTACATAATACTTGAAAATGAAGATTAATAGAAGTTAGTATACAAGTTATTCATTACTTTTATTCAATTACTTTGTCTTGCATTCCCTTTCATGTACTTAGAGATACTTATGAAGTAAATGAAGGGGTGATGTGGATACTATCATCACTGCTGGGGAATAGAACATTGCTGTAAATGTGACATCAGAAGAGGACAACCAATAGACAATCACAAAGCACCAGCCACTTGCAGTGTTGGCT